CCATCATTGCAATCTAATTTTACAGCACTTTTATTACCTTAAAGGCAATCTGTACCCATTAGCAGTCCTTCCCCATACCCAACTTCCATAATACCCCAGTCCTAGACACTGCCTCATCTTTCTGTTTTTGTCAAACTGGATATTTGTATAAATGGAATAATACAGTATATGGTCTTTTGCAACTGGCTTCTTAGCATAATGTTTTTGGGGTTTGTGCCTGCTGTAGTGTATGTAGTACTTCATTCCATTTTATTGCCAAAAAAAAAATCTATCCTGGGATGTATTTGTAGGGCTACAGTAACAAAGCAACACAGACCTGGTGGCTTGAAGGAATGGAAATTTACTGTCACGGTTCTGTGGCTAGCAGCAGTCCATAATAAGGTGTCCGCAGGACTAGGCTGTCTCCTTGGCCCTGGGGGGACAACCCTTCCTTCCTTCGTCCTAGTGTCTGGTGGTGATTGGCAATCTTTGGCTCTCCTTGGTTTGCATAACCCCAGGTCTGCCTGTTTCTACATCCCTGACTCTTCTCTTGCTACAGGACACCAGTCCTACGCATTAAGTTTAAGGGACTACCCTACCCTAGTAAGACCTTAACTTTATTACACTTGGAGGCCCTATTTCCAACTCAGGTCACACTCACAGGTGCTGGCTGCTAGAACTTCAACATGTCTTCTTTTTTAATGGACACAGTTCCAACTGGTGACCTGTAGATGGATTTTATGTATCCATTCATCAGCTAATGGACATTTGGGTTGTTTCCACTTTGGGGCTATTATAAATAGTGCCACTAGGAACTTTTGTGTGGGCATATTTTGAATTCCCTTGGATACATAGCTGGGAGTAGAATTGCTGGGGCATATGTAACTATATTTGAGGAGCTGCCAGTCTGTTCCCAAACAGCCACAGCATTTGACAGTCCCACCTACAGCATGAGCATTTTAGTTCTCCACATTATTGCCAGCACTTACCTGTCTTGAGACCCATCCTACTGGTTGTGAAGTGGTTCCTCGTTGTAGTTTTGATTTGTAGTAGCCAAGGATGTTGAACATCACATACTTACTGGCCTTTTCCCCTCTATTATGACCTTCAAATATCTATTCATAGCCTTAATCTGCTTTTAAATTGGTTTCTTTGCCTTGTATCATTGAGCTGTAAAAGTTCTTTTTGCTTGTGTTTTTGGTGGCACTGGGATTTGAACTCAGGGTCTCACGCTGCTAGACAAGTGTTTTACCACTTGAGCCATTCTGCCAGCCCAGGTTCTTTTTATATCCTAGATACATGCTTTAAATGTGTTTGCATTGACTTTATATATTATTTTGAGTATTTCTATAAAACAGTCATTATAGTTTGGTTGCTGCATGTGCTAAAGACTTGGTCTCCAGAGTGTGCAATTAGGAGGTGGTGGAATCTTCAGGAGGTAGGGCCTCGTGGGAGTCCCTAGGCCATTTTGTGTGTGCCCTCAAAAGGGTTGTTGGACTCCAGCCCTTTCCTCTTATTTATTTATTTTGAGACAAAATCTTGGTGCCTAGCTCAAGCTGGCCTTGAACTCACTCCATAGCCCAGACTGGCTTTGAACTCACAGTCTTCCTGTCTCAGCTTCCTGAATGCTGGGATTACAGGCATGCACCACCATGCCTGGTCAATCCTGAATTTTTTGAAGTCGGATTGTGCCTTTTAACTCTTTTTATCCGAGTTTAACACAATGTCTGGCTTTATTGAAAGTGCTGAATGCGTGCTTGCTGAGTGAATCTTGGGCTGGGGGGAAAGTCTCACAAGCTCTTCACATAGAAATGAATTGGCTGAAACAAAAACCATAAGAAACTAAGTTTTGGATGTATGTATGCATGCATGTATTTTGGAGCTTGAGGAATTGAATTCAGGGCCTTGCACATGCTAGGAAAGTGCTCTATGACTTGAACCACACCCCAACCCTGTTGTATTTGGCGGGTTCTCAAGAGGGAGCAAACACTTTTGTCATTTCAGAGATTGGCTGAGTATCAGAGAGCAATTTATTCTCTCTCTCTCTCCCTCTCTCCCCCCCCCCCCGCCTTTTTGAACAGGGTGGCACTATGTAGCCTGGACTGACCTCAGACTCCTTAAGTAGCCCAGGCTGGTCTTGAACTCATGAGCCTCCTGCCTTAGCTTCTCGAGTGCGGAACTGGGGTTTGACCTTGGGGCCTCATGCTTGCTAGGCAGGTGCTTTACCAGTTGAGCTGCTCTGCCAACCCAAAATATTTTTAAATAAATATTTTTTATACTTTTTTGTTTTTTTGCTTCCTATTCATGTTTTAGCTATTATTTTCCTTTACATTTAAATTTTTCTTCCCCCCACCTTCTTTTTGTGCAGCAATGAGGTTTGAACTTAGCACCTTGAGCTTGCTAGGCAGATGCCCTATCACTTGAGCCATACCCCCAGCCATGGTCTGGATTTCTTTTCTTTTTCTTTTTTTTTTAAATTGTTGTGCTGGGTGGGGGTACATTGTGGCATTTAAAAAAGTTCTTACAATATATCAAATACATCATTTTCTTGATCTTCCTGCTTCAGCCTCCTGAGTGCTTTTGCTTCCTATTCATGTTTTAGCTATTATTTTCCTTTACATTTAAATTTTTCTTCCCCCCACCTTCTTTTTGTGCAGCAATGAGGTTTGAACTTAGCACCTTGAGCTTGCTAGGCAGATGCCCTATCACTTGAGCCATACCCCCAGCCATGGTCTGGATTTCTTTTCTTTTTCTTTTTTTTTTAAATTGTTGTGCTGGGTGGGGGTACATTGTGGCATTTAAAAAAGTTCTTACAATATATCAAATACATCATTTTCTTGATCTTCCTGCTTCAGCCTCCTGAGTGCTGGGATTACAGGCTTGAGATACAGACTTGCATCACCATGCCCAGCTGAATGTTTTTCCTTTGAAGTCTCTCCCAGATCTTGGGTATGCACATTTCTGTTTGATGGCTCTGTGCACTATTTTATTGGTTTTAGAGTTTTGTTTGATTTTGATTGATTTGGAGAGCTGTCTTCTAGGGACTGGTCTTCCATGGAAGTTGTGCATGTTTCCTGAGTGCTGAAAGCACTTACACTGTTTCCAGCAGAGTTCACCAGTTCTGAACCACTTTTAATTCGGTTTCATTTAGTGAGGCTGATGTGATCTTGGGCTCTGTTCCTGCCCCAAGTGCAGACTTGAGAGTCTGTTCTCTCATAAGGGACTGTGCTCATACTCTTAGCCTGGGGCAGGTGGCTTGTATGGACCATGGTGTGTGAAGTGTGTGAACACTTTCAGGTCTCTGTTAAAGGACAGGATAGCACCCTCCTGGATCTCAGTGAGTTCAGGGCCTGTGGCCTTGAATTCTGTCCCCAGGTTAGTGATAGAGCCCAGTGCTGGATCTGGTATATGTTCTAGTCCCTACCTGACTGTATCTCCCACCCACTCTGGGTTCCTTCTTCCATTTCTGGCACTTGATGATGTCTCTGTTTTCTTTTTTTTTTCCAGTTTTAAATTTTAATTAGTTAATTTTAAAAACTATTTTTGGTGGTGCTGGGTTTGAACTCAGGGCCTCATGCATACTAGGTAAGTGCTTTACCACTGAGCCACATTCCCCACCCCACATTTTAATCTTTTTAATGTGTGTATGTGTGTATATGTGTGTGTCTGTGTGTGTTTTGTGATATGAGTTTGAACTCAGGATCCCCCAACCCTAGCAGGCATCTATCACTTGAGCCGTGCCCCCCATATTAATGGGTTCCCCCATATTCCAGTATTTGTGTTGTTTAGAGTAGGAAAGGGAAGACTTTTTATATCTTCTCAGATTATTTTAACCAGGTGGCTCTCTACAAAAGTTGCTTAATCTCATTATGCCTGTTTCTTTAGTAAAAGTCCTGGAGAGAATACATATGAATTACTTAGCACAGTTTCTAGAATAAAGTAAAATCTTTTATTTGTTTATTTATTTATTTTTTGTGGTACTTGGGTTGAACTCAGGCACTCTACCACTTGAACCACTCCACCAGCCCTTTTTTGCTTTGGTTAAAAGTTTTGTTGAAACTTTAAAAAAGTGATTAAAAAAAGGGTACACATTCAGTGGGAAACCTTGAGCTGTACACAAAGTGGGGCATACAGGCAGGAGCAGTGTTTTGGGGAAGTTTAGGGTCTAGGTCAGAGCCCACAGGTAGGTGGTCCAGTACCTTGAGTGTTGTTGCTTTACTGGTGCAGTATTTTAAGAAACTAAATCTATTGCTAACATTTAAAATGGTGACTTTTCATGTGAAATTCAGATCCCTGGGTTTTCTTGTATAAGCCCAGTATCTGACCATCCTGAGCCTGTGTTCTGCACAGGATTCCTCAAGCTTATATGGGGTGCTTGCTGCCCCCTGTTGTCCTTGCCACTGGTCAAGAGCCACTTACCGTCTGTTTATTTCTTTATCTATCTATCTATCTATTTATTGTGGTATGATTTGCACTCAGGGTCTCATACTTGCTAGGTAAATGCACTTGACCCATGACCCCAGCCCTTTTGGCTTTAGTTGTTTTTTGGATAGGGTCTCTCATTTTTGCATGCGTCAGCCTTGGCCCAAGATCCTACTACCTATGTCTCCTGTGTAGTTGGGATTATAGGTATGTATCATCTTGCTTGTTGAAATGGGGTTTTGCTGATTTTTTGTCTGAACTGGCCTGGAACCCTGATCCTCCTTATTGTTCCCTCCTGAGTAGTTGGAATTATAAATGTGAGCCACCTCATCTGGCAGCTTGTTACTTATTGTCACACATTTACTATTTTGTTTTTTTTCTGGTACCGGGGCTTGAACTCCGGGCCTACACCTTGAGCCTCTCCACCAGCCCTTTTTTGTGATTTTTTTTTTTTTTTCTGAGGTAGGGTCTCTCAAACTATTTGCCAGGGTTGCCTTTGAATTGTGATTCTCCTAATTTCTGCCTCCTGAGTATGCTTGGATTACAGGAGTGAGCCACTGCCACCTGGCGAGTGTGTGTGTGTGTGTGTGTGTGTGTGTATGTGTGTGTGTGTTAAATAATATACAATTAATACTTAAACTTGTTTTTCTCTCAGTGGGAGAAAAAAAGATACGTGATTGTGATAAAGCCGCATGCTCTAAGGTAATGGAGAAGGGACTGTTTGTGGATTGCTTCATTTATTTATATTAACCTGCCTGGCCCTGTGGACATTGCAGTTTGAAACTTTCTGGGCATCTTGGTTATCTCTCTTAAGTACTACCCTCTTTTTCTTTTTCTCATCCCTTCGCTTTTGCATTCCCGTTTTCCCCTTCAGTAACCACATTGATTTCTATGGAGAACCACTAAGACTTCTGGAGCAATAGAAAAGTGTTCGTTCAAGCCCGTCTTCTCACCTCCCTACTGCCCACACTTTCCAGAAGGTAAACCAGTCTCCCCACTAATTTACTCATAATTAAGACGACGATGATGATGATGGTTGTGATGATGATTTATGTAGTGCTGGAGGTAACTCAGGGTCTCCTGCATGCTAGGCACAAGCTCTGTCACTGAGCTATACCCTCAGTCCTTGGTTTTTTTAAGACAGTGTCTTGATGTGAGACCCAGGTCAGTCTCAAACTTGGGATTCTCCCGCCTCCACCTCTCAAGTCTAGGATTACAGGTGTTTACCACCACTCTCAGTAGGACTTTTTTTCTTTAATTGAGAAGCAAAGCTTTCATTCAACATATAGGAGGTTAAAGGTTTAAAGTGCAAACACTCTGAAGAAGAACCATTAAGTAAAAAATTGATTTACTAATAAATCAGCAATCTAAAATGAGAATCTGACCTATCTGTTTTGACTGATATGATTTTCTATCATTAAGAGAACCTTGGGCAGCTGTCAGAGTACAGGGTGGGAAGTTTGGAGTCATGGATGAAGACAGCATGGAATAGGAAAGTACAAAAATGAAAAAATGAAAATCTTACTGGTTCATGTGAAAATTTGTAGCCATTTTAGTTTGTGGGCACAGGGATTTTTTTAGTGGATTTTTTAGGGAAAACTTACCTTGCACATAGGTTTGTATTCTGTATGTAAATATATTTTTGCCATTTCTTTTTCAGATGGTGGGATTAGTGACATGTTTTCCTAAACAGTAATAAGAATTTGAAGATGTCTAGGCAGAACTTAGTGGCACTGACAGTGACCACCCTTCTGGGTGTAGCTGTGGGAGGGTTTGTGCTGTGGAAAGGCATCCAGCGCCGGAGGAGTAAAACAAACCAAGTGGCCCAGCAGCAGCAGCAGCAGCAGCAGCAAGTGGCAGGCAGGAGCGAGCAGCCCCTTCCAGAAGAGAACCAGCTATTCTCTGGTACCCCAAGAACCCCCAGAGCCTCGTGGGAAGAGAAGATCCTCCAGGCAAAGGTCGTGACGGTGTCCCAGAAAGCAGAGTGGGATCAAATTGAGCCCTTGCTTAGGAGTGAGATAGAAGATTTTCCAGTACTTGGAATCGACTGTGAGTGGGTAAGTTAAAAAGCACAGGTTTAAAAAAAAAATCTTCCGTTTTTCTGAGTAGGGGCCATGGGTGGTCAAGTAGAGAATAAGATGAGGGGAGAATAGCGTATTCTCAACTTGCTTCTAAGCTGATTTTAGCAGACGAAGCTGGTGCCGTTTTCAGGATTAGGGTACTTAGGATCGTGCATTCTGGAGTCAGATGGACCTGTATGAGTTCCACTTCACCACTTACTCTGTGAACTTGGACAGCTGCCTAGCCTCTGAGGGTCAGTTGTTGGATAATAGGGATATAGTGGTACCTACCTCCATGACTTTTCTAAGTATTCCCCTTTAAACTCTTTGGCACAACTTTAACATAGCAAGTGCTCATTAAAAACTAGTATTTAATAGCCTTTCATAAGGAGCCATGGAGAGGACTGTGGGTGTGGCTCAACTGGTACAATGCCTGCCTAGCAAACATGAGGTCTTCAGTTCAAACCCTAGAACTGCCAATAAAAGAGAAGAGAGAAGGAAGAAAGAAGAAAAATGAGAAAGAGCAGCTGATAGTGTGGGATAAGCTCATTGTCACAAAAACCCTACACTTTAGCTCCCAAGGGTATTTCTTTATGTTTGCAATAGTTGTTGGTGTTTGTTCCAGTGACTGTGGCCCATCAAGAAAGAATTGGGTGGTATTAATCTATTCATATCATTTTAGAAATATTTACATCAACAACATTAAAAGGAAATATTAGTGGTGAGCTTTAGTAGATTAGAAAAATTCACATTTGTCAAACACTTTGACTGTTCCAGCTAAAGGAAGTATAACTTCAGCAACAACAGGGCAGTCTGAAGTGGATAGTTAACAAGGGTAATTTATTTAATTCCTTTTGCAGAGGCATAGATAGCTTAAAGTGGCAGACCATTCAAAGCTCATGCTAGATGCTACATCTTCCTTTGGATATGATTGCATTTCTTTGATCTCTGTCACAGGGAAACTTTGTGGAAAAGCCATCTATCTTTGTCTCTTCCTCCATTTCTGCTTCCTTTTTCCTTCATTTGCCTGTGTGTTTATTTGGTGATTATTGCTTTTTTTTTTTTTGTCAGTAGTGGGCTCAGGGCTTCACTTGCAAAGCAGGTGCTCTACCTCTTTTTTTTTTATTATTCATTTATTCATGTGTACATACATTGTTTGGGCCATTTCTCCCCCCTTGCTCTACCTCTTGAGCTACACCTCCAGTCCATTTTGCTCTGGTTATTTTGGAGATGGTGGTCTTGTGAATTATTTGCCTATGCTGACCTTGAATCCTGATTCTCCCAACCTGACCCTCCCAAATGTCTAGGATTACAGGTGGGAGCCACCAGTGCCTGATTGGTAATTATTGCTTTTGTTCTTGTTTTATTTCATTTTTATTTTTTGCAGTACTGGGGTTTGAACTCAGGGTCTACACCTTAATCTACTCCACCAGCCCTTTTTTGTGATGGGATTTTTCGAGGTAGGGTCTCTTGAACTATTTGCCCAGGCTGACTTTGAACCAGGATCCTTCTGATCTCTGCCTCCTGAGTAGCTAGGATTATAGGCGTGGGCCACCAGTGCCCAGCTTGTTGTTTTACGTAGTCAGCATTTGTTTAGATTTACCTAATGTTTACCTTTTTCTTTGTCTTTCCTTTTATCTTAGACCTTTTGGGTGGGGAGATCATTTTTCTTAAGTCATTCTTTAGAAGTTTATTTCTTTTTTCCTTTTTGATTTTGTTTTCTTGAGGCATGGTTTCACTATGTAGCCCAGGCTGGGCTTTTAATTCACAGTCCTCCTGCCTCAGCCTCTTTAGTGCTAGGACTATAGGCATGTGCCACCGCACCCAGCTAAAAGTTTATTTCTTTTGCTTTTTTCTTTCTTTTTTGTTTCTTGGCAGTACTGGGGTTTGAATTCAGCTGTGTAACTAGAAACTAGATGAAGAAGTGCAAGATTGCTCCTACCTCAGAAGAAAGCTCCCTTTGTGCCCCTTGCAATCCTTGTCCCTTTCCTCCACTGTAGTGGTTATCATTTTTCTGGTATTTCATGGTATTTACTTTCTTGTTTTCTTTATACTTTCACTATTTATGCATGCCTCCCTAAGTGCTGTGATTTAGTTTTTACCTTCTTTTTAAATTTGATATAAATAAAATCATTGAGCATGTATTCTTCTGTGTCTGGTTTCTTTTGCTGAACGTTGTATTTGTGAGCTTTATCTGTGTTGTATGTGATTGTGATTCATTGTCGAGTAGCATTCCATGTTTGTAACATGAGTTACTTATCCATTCTGTTGATAGACATTTAGGTCAGATACATTGTGGGGCTTACAAAAAGAATGATGCAAATGATCACATTCATTATAATTGGGCATGAGGATCTGAGTGAAGTTCTAAGTCATGGAGTTTGTGTGTGTGTTTTTGCACCCACTTGTGTGTATATCTTTAATTTTTTTTCTTTTTGGCAGTACTTGGGTTTGAACTCAGGGCAGGCTCTTGAGCACTTGTGCTATGTCCCTTGTCCTTTTTGCTTTAGTTATGTTTCACAAAAGGTCAGTTTTTTGCCCTGGCTGGCTAGACCATGATCCTCCTATTTACACCTCCTGCCTAGCTGGGATGATAGGCACATACCACTATACCCACCTTTTTATTGGTTAAGATGGGGGTCTCACTAACTTTTTGTTTAGGCTGGCCTTGGACCACAATCCTCCTGCTCTCTGCCTCTTGAATAGCTAAGATACAAGCGTGAGCTATCATGCTCAGCAGTTTTTTTTTTTTTTTTGAGATGTGGTATCACTGTGTAGCCCAGGCTGGGCTTAAACTCAAAATCCTTCTGCCTTAGCCTCCAGAGTGCTAAGATTACAAACATACCCAACCTGGCTTCCTTTTAATTTTTAACCTTGAATCCAGTATCTTTTTTTTACTCTTCCACTGGTCAAGTTGTTGACTTTCTTATTTTCAAATCTAGTGAACACTTAATTTGGATTCTTAAAAGTATCTACATTGCCAGGCATAGTGGTGTATGCTGAGGTAGGAGACCATCCTGGGCTACATGAGGTTACATAGTATAGTGAGAACTTATCTCAAAAAATAAAACAAAGTCCTTTGTACAGTTCCCACAGAAGGCATTCTTCTTTGCTGTCATGTCCTCACACTCTCTTCTCTCCTTTCTTTTTCCTTTTTATTTTGTAGTGCTGGAGATCATACCCAGGCCCTTGCTTATGCTAGGCAAGTGCTCCACCACTGAGCTATATCACCAGCCCCTAGTTTCCTTTCTATGTTACATCTAAATTTTGATGTGATTCAGGCCTGGTATGTACCCCAGGGACTGCAAATTCAGATGCCTACAAGGTCTAGATAGGTAAGATAAATAAGTAGTGTGGATGAATGTATTTTCAGTTACTAAATTCACACTCAGGAGGCTGAGCAGGAGGATTGTGAGTTTGAGGCCAGCCTGGGCTACATTAGTAAGAACCTATCTCAAAAAAAAAAAAAGAAAGAAATATGTTCCCTCTCATTTTTCCTTTCTTCCTTCTTTTTTCCATTTTTGTTTTCTTTTTTGTTTTTTGGCAGTACTAGGGTTTAAACTCAGGACCTGGTGTTTGCTAGGCAGGCATTCTACCTCCTGAGCCACATCTCCAGCCCTTCCTTGCTTCCTTTCCTTCCCTTTTTTTTGTGGTGCTTGGGATTGAAGCCACCAGGGCTTTCCACATACTAGGCAAGTATTCTGTTACTGAGCTATATCCCCAGCCCTCATTATGTCTTTAGACACAATGCCTCTAGGATTTCTCTTTTATTTTCCTAGTTTGATGGTGACATGGATCCTGAGAAATGTTTCATTGTATTAGAAAAACAATGGTATGCTAATATGATAAGTGGGAGATGACAGCGGTTTCAGTGTTGGGAAGACAGTGGGGTAAATTAGAGAATTAATATTTCATGTAAATGAAGAAGCTGCTATATAGTTGAACCCAGCGATGCTGAGTTGTCCAGTCCTCTCCCACCCCCAACAGGACTGGGGCTTGAACTCAGGGCCTACACCTTGAGCCACTCCAACAGCCCTTTTTTGAGAAGGGTTTTTTCAAGATAGGGTCTCATGAACTATTTGCCTGGGCTGCCTTCAAACCGCAATCCTCCTGATCTCTGCCTCCTGAGTAGCTAGGATTGCAGATGTGAGCCAACAGTGCCAGCTAATTGTCCAGTTCTTTAAGGAAAAACTTGGAATATGGATTTATTAAAATGTGAACTCTGAGCCGGGCACTCACATCTGTAATCCTAGCTACTCTTGAAAATATCTAACACACAAAAAAAGTTGTGTGTATATTTAATAATGTATACAGAGGTGGGGAGGTGGGTGGGTGATGTAATTAAGTGATAATCTGGGTGCTTAGGGTAGTCATGTGATGCATCCTCTTGCTGCAACCTGGAGATGCAGCAAGCACAAGTTACATGAGGCTGCTGTTGCAGTAACATGTACACTGTGTTATAGCAGACTCTTTTTCCTCATGAGGCAGAGTCTCACGATGAGACCTAAACTTTCCAGTTTAGGATAGCCTGACCACTTTCTGTGTAGCCCAGAGTGACCTAAATTTAGGACCCTCCTGCCTCAGCCTTCTGAGTGCTGAGTGGGAGTGTGCTTGGCCTACTAAGCAGTCTTTTTTTTTTTTTTTTTTTCATTCACCCCAGTGGTGTGGATTGAACCCAGGGGCTCATTTGTGCTAGGAAAGTGCTCTCCCAATGAGCTACACCTGAGCCCTAAACTTTTTTATAAATAGTATACTTTAAAATAATAATTAAAAAGTGTAGTGTAGCAAACACAGACTAGAAACAGCTGTGTATTACTGTCAAGTGTTCTGTACAATGCATAAATCACATACTTTTAAAATATTTTTAAATGACACATAATTTTGCATATTTATGGAATATAGCATGATACTTCAATACTTAAATGCAATGTGTAATGACCAGATTAGGGTCATTGGCAAATCAGGCATTAATCATTTGTGTTCAGTGTTTGCATTGTTGACTTAGGTGCATCATAGCATGTTTAGATGTGCTATACTTTATATGACTGGCTGTGCAGTAGGTGTATTTGCACCAGCATCCCCACACACATGTAAGGACTGCATTGTGTTATGTTATGATGGCTATGAAATCAATAGCTGATAGGAAATTTTCAGCTCCATTGTAGTGTTATGAAACCACCATTGTATATGTGGTCCATCATTGACCATTATTATATGGCACTTGACTGTACATTGTATTTATCCCAAACATTTCAATATGGCTAACTAGTTTAAAAAAAAAAAACAGGCCACAGAATTAAATAATGCTAATGAAATTGCACTGTGTTATTTTTCTAGTAAATATAATTTTGGTAAGCTAAGAGTTCCGTTGTTTCCATGAGCAGCAAATAATGCCAACATAAAAAGATGTTAAAAAAGCAAAGGCTCATGCCTGTAATCCTGGCTACTCACAAGGCAGAGATCAAGAGGATCACAGTTGGAAGCCAGTAGTGAGGCAACTAGTTCAAGAGACCCTATTGAAAAAACCCAGTACAAAACAGGACTGGCAGAGTAGCTCAAGTGGTAGAGTGTCTGCCTAGCCAGCCTAGCAAGGATGAGGTCCTGCCTGAGTTCAAGCCCTAGTACTGTCGAAAAAAGAAAGCACAAGGGGAAAAGATAATAAAAACTAGATATCTTTTTTTAAGCCAAATTGACTCTTCCTAGAAACATTATCCTTCTAATTATATATTTAACATCAATTGGAATCGTAAACATTTGAATTCCTAGTAAGAAACTTTGATTTTATAATACATTAGATAGTTGTGGTTTCTCTTTTTTCTTTCTTTTTTTTTTTTTGAGATAGGGTTTTGCTAGACAGCCCAGACTAGACTTGGAACTCTTACTGTGTAGCCCAGGCTGGCCTGGGACTTGTGATTCTCCTGCCTCAGCCTCCTGAATGCTAGGATTACAGGCATGTGTCACCACCAAGCCTGGTTCCTACATTGGATTTTTTTGGGGAGGTGGGTATTACTGGGGTTTGAACTCAAGGTTTTGCACTTGCTAGGCTAGTGCTCTACCACTTGAGCTACACCCCTAACCCCTCCTACATTGGAACTTAAGCAGAACCATTATTAAAAATACAACTCAGGGGCTAGGGGCATAGTTCAGTGGTTTAGTGCTTGCCTAGAATGTTTGATTGCTAGCACTTCCCCTCCCCCCCAAAAAGAACTCAAGTTCAATCTGTCTAGTTGTTTATTTAAGTCATTGTATATAATGGGACCTGACTGTGAAGATGTGCAGAGGTCCAGCCTCAGGAATTTACAGTGAGTTTAATGCCAGATTAGGGGTGCTACATATTAGAAGTGGAGATTTATAGCTTTTTCTTCGACAGACCTAATACAGGTTGAGCATCCCCAATCTGAAAATCCAAAAACTGAAATGCCCAAAAAAATCTGAAACTTTTTAGTGTTGGCATGGTGCCACAAGTAGAAAATTCCACACCTGATTTCATGTGATAGGTGATAGTCAAAATGAAGTGCTAAATAAACTACCTTCAAGCTGTGTATACAAGGTGTATATGAAACATTTATAAATTTTGTACTTAAACTTGGGTCCCATCTCCAAGACATCTCATTATGTATGCAAATAATCCAAAACATGAAAAAAAAGTGAAATCCAAGACTCTTCTGATGCCAAGCATTTGGATAAGGAATATTCATCCTCTACTACAGAGGATGGAAACTGCTTATTAATAAAAATGGTTATTTGGATACATCAAGATGAATTGTTAGAGAACAGGCAGTAGTCGGATGATTTTTTATAAGTCTGTTGATCTTGGCTAAGCCACGCAAAATAGATCAAAGTAGCATGCTTTTTTGTGGGAGAGGAGGCTATACTGGGGTTTGAACTCAGGGCCTTGTGTGCTTGCTAGCCAAGTGCTCTACCACTTGACTTATACACACAGTACTTTTTGGTTTAATTTATTTTTCAGATAAGTGTCACAGATTTTGCTTACATGTTTTTGCTCAGAGCCAGCTTCACTGTCTCGCTTTTTTTTTTTTCCTTTCCATACTGGGAGTTGAACTGAGGGCCTCCTGATTGTTAGGCAGGCACTCAACACTTGAGCCATGCCTCCAGTCTTAGTTTTCCACTTCAAATGCATTCTCTACTCCCATTCTCCCCCACAAACACACTCACATTAATGTACTTGGATGAGTTATTAAATATGTATGAGGACATATATATGAGGCTGGGGATATGGTAGAGTGTTTGCCTAGCAAACATGAAGTCCTGAGTTCAAATTCTAATACTGCCCCCAAAAAGCAGAGCCAGCTTTGGATGGTGATCCTTTATTTCCTACAAAATTGGGAACAGGCATGCATCACCATTCTCAAAATTCTTTGTGCTCTGTGTGGAAGAATCCAGGCTCTCTGTTTCAGGGTGTTTTAAACTGCAGATCACCTATGGGAGGAGAAAGATGTAAGTAGTTCCTGGACGAGGGTGATGAATCACTCTGCATACGCTTCCACTAGTTCTTAGGTGGCCTAACTTCTGGTGGTTGGGTTTCCATAGTTTTTGGCCTAGCTCAGCAGCTAGCAGAGGATTGCAATTGAAAAGGAGGCTTAGAGGGGGTAAGAAAGGCTGTCTAATCTGTCTAATATGAAGTGTGTTAGGCTGTTGTATGATACCTACCTGAGTCCCAGCAGCTTCCCCTACTTCTAACCTGCCTCACTTCTGGGTTTCTTATTTGTTTGCTTGCTTTTTGTGTGTGTGTAACTCAGGCTGGCCTGGAACTTGCTATGTACTATCCTCCTACCTCAGCCTTCTGAGCTCTGGGATTACAGGCACATGCCACCATGCCCAGCCTGTGTGCTTTTGTTTTGAGTATATGGAAATAGCCATCATCAATAATGAGTAATGCTTGAGAAGAAATTCTGAGGCTTTTGTGAGTTAAATTATGGTTTTTACTTAGGATTAAAATAGAAGTTGAGGTCCAAGACCCTCCCAAAGTTTGTTTTTTAACAACTCTTTGTGATGTTGACTGTTTTCTCTTTGTGATTTTGGTCATCTTAGCTATAAAATATCCCTTCTCTGATTACTTGTGCACTGTGTTGAATCACTTCTTTAGTAGTTACCTTGTCATTTTCTGTGTGTGCAAGTTTTTTTTTTTTATGTTTTTGTTACCCGCTGTAAGGTTGTAAGTTCCTTAAGTTGGGCCATTTCTTCCACAGCTTTGTAGGTCCACCTGCTCTGTGGGACACAGGTATTATGGTGGCGAGAACCACAGTGCTCTGAGCAGGATTTTCAAGCCTTTGAGGCAGATGCTTCTTTGTTGTGAAGGGCTATTCTGTAATTGTGGAATGTAGCATCAGCATTCTGGTACTCTACCTACTAGATAACAGCGTATTCCTTTCCCCCCAGTCATAACAAGCAAAAATTTCTCCAGACATTGCCATATTTCCCTTGGGAGCAAATTTACTCTAAGTTGACAACTATTGTTCTAGAGACTCAGAAATTTAGGTTACAGTCCTAGCTTTGTCATTATCTCACCATATTTGGTCTCACTGCTTCACCTACAGGCCTTAAGTTTCCTCTCCTGAGGATCAGAATTTATTGGGTGCTTCATCTTGGCTCTGTGGAATCTTTAATTTCTTGAAATGTGTGTGTTTTGTATGCAAAATTGTCTAGAGGTAATACTTAGCTTTCAGCGTTTTCTCACTTACCTATGACCTCCAAAAAGATTAATCATAGAACTAAATATATATTTAATATATAGTTACTTTTATCTCTTAAGATATTAGGGACCTAAGTAGGCTCAATATCCTTTTTTTCTTTTATGAATATTATTGGTGGCTAGAAAATGCTGAGGTGGCACTTTGTGCCACCAGGACTTGCTATATTGGCAGGTACCACTTATTTACAGGTGTGCATTCCCCTCCCCCCTTTTTAAAACTTGAGCAGTACTCTTGAAGCAGTGGTCATAAGGTTAATGAGTGTGCATTAGCATGTATGTGAGAATCTGGACAATAAACAGTATGTTACCATTTGGCACTCTACTTCTTAGCCTTTTAAAACCAGTCTGTTTTGTCTGACTGCCAGTGTGTGTCCCAGTGCTCCTCGGGGTCATCTGGCCACTATTTATGGACGCTCAGATTTCAGGCCCTAGAGTTGAGCCCCAGGGAAGCTTTGTCTAGGCCGCTACTTCACATGGCTCCTGTGTTTGTTAGTACAGGCTTTCAGACTTAACTTCAAATCTGGTCTGCTCTTGCTTTTGGAAAGCTAAAGATGTACCTGTTGGACTTTTTCCACAATTTCCTGTTGTGCTTGCTGCTGTGCACGGGTATGAACTATGGTCTGTCTTACTCTTTTACAGGTGAACTTGGAAGGCAGAGCCAGCCCTCTGTCTTTACTACAAATGGCTTCCCCAAGTGGCCTCTGTGTCTTGGTGCGTTTGCCCAAGCTGATCTGTGGAGGCAGAACACTCCCGAGAACATTATTGGACATTTTGGCAGATGGCACCATTTTAAAAGTTGGAGTGGGAAGTTCAGAAGATGCCAGCAAACTTCTGCAGGATTATGGCCTCATTGTTAGGGGGTGCCTGGACCTCCGCTACCTAGCCATGCAACATGGGTATGGTTTATACAAATGCTGAAATTCCTGTAGCTGTGGGGCAGACATTTAGCAAGATCTGTAGGTTACTGAGACATGAAACATTTAAAATTATTAGTTTTTTCTTTCTTTAAAACATTTAAAATTCTTTAGAAACCTAGAGGGTTGGGAAATGCAAATTGAATTTATTAGGAGAAATTGAAATGTCAGAGAAAATTTTAGTTATCTAGAATTTTTTTTTGTGGGGGGTGTGAAATAATAAGGTAACCAACTGGGCACCAGTGGCTCATGCCTGTAATTCTAGCTACTCAGGAGGCAGAGATCAGGAGGATTGTGGTTTGAAGCTAGTCTGGGCAAATAGTTCTTGAGACCCTATCTCAAAAAAAAAAAACATAACAAAAAAGGGCTGGTGGAGTGGCTCAAAGTGTATGTCCTGAGTTCAAACGACAGCAGGGGGTGCGGGGAGGGGGGAGGATTTTGGAAAAGTAGGCCCCAAAAGTGACCACGTGGAGAGGAGTGATCTGGCCAAGAGATTCTTTATTGCTGGGTGGGAGAAGGAGAGAGCCAAGAGAGCCAAGAGAAAGAAGCAAGAAGGGCAAGGGCTTAAATACCCCTCAGTGGGACTCAGCATGATCTGATTGGTTAGGATCTTATGGTTTATGCTGATTGGAGGTTGGGGCAGAAGGAGAATTCAAGCTAGACTTGAGGCAGGACCGTGACCCTGGAAAACAGAAGCTTAAGGGTGCAGTAAGAACCGAAACCTATCAGCGCCATTATTGCCAACATTCCTCCCTTTTTTGTTTGTTAAGGAAGGAGGGTGTTGTGTTTGCTCTGGCTTCTTCGAGCTGGCAAGGGGCGGCATAGGGGAAGGAGGGTTAGTTGGCAAACAATGTTGGGGTGGTGAGCCTCATGATGGCGTAGACCCAGGCTCCAAAAATGAAGATTGCCTCTTCCCTGAAGTTGATGAAGGTCCCTTGTAGCCATAGGTCGTAAAGAGTCTCGAGCCAATCCTCCGAAATCCGCATGGTGGGTATCAGCCAACTATCCTTGGGTTTGGAGAGGTTGGTGTCCCTGGAGGTACAACTGGTTAAATTTTTGATCAGCAATAGCAGACATGTAGTGTGATACAAGGGAGGAAGCTTAAGAATAGGAGAGCAAGATCATAGGCATTAGGACGGGCATTGGCCAGGAGAACCACTGTGAAATGTTCCCTAGACAAATTCAAGAGTCCTCCAACTACAGAGAGAGAAATGGGTGGCCATACATTATCTAAGACCCAAATAGGAATATTAGGAGGAGCATAAAAAGGTGTCTGTTCAGGGACTACATACCTAGGGAATCTAAATTCTGCAAAATCCTATAACTGCCAGGAAAAATGTAAGCTGTCTTATGGTATGGGGGTTGGGAAACAGAAGATTAGGTTGATGTATTTATGACTTAGGGAGTGAGTCTGTCCCTTTAAGACCACACATAGGTAGGTGACCTGTGGGAGCAGGGCTGTCAGGATTTAAATGTAACACTTTGGATAAAGAGAGCTTGCTCATTATTTATATAAATTAACACTTTTAACCTTTTAAATGTTTGTACCATATTTAGATAACACTGTTACAAGGTGGTCATTTAAGACACATAAGCAAATATGTAAATGAACTCTGATTTAGTAGTACTTAAAGCTTGACAAGATCAGCAGAAAACATGAAATAATTTCTTGATAAAATCTTTCTCTGTAATGGTTTTTTGTAGATGTTACTCAGAGCAGAACAATATTAAGATAACTTGTTATTTCATAGACATAGAGGATTTGATTTTAGTTTGACATGACCCTAAAATCTTTTAGGCACTCTTAGATTATATTCAACTTTAACTTTATCACACACTGAAGCTTTATTATACTCACTTCAGTTATTAACTCAAACTTACTCAGACCTTGATACAACTACTAAACCCTTTGATGGTTTGTCTTATCCTTCCTATTTGAAACAATCTTTAGGACAAATCCTTCTTTACAAAATCCTCTCATCCAAAAAACCATTCCTTTTTCCTTTAACTTCTCAAAAAATACATTTATTACCTATCTATGTCCTTTCCAGTTGTTTACTTTGTAACTTGTATTTTAAATTAACTTTATAAGAATTTTAAATTTATTTAGGGGCTGGAGCAACTAATTAGTAGCCCTTATTGTTTAGGAATAGGCATAAGGCCTCAGGCTTGAGGGGAATATTGTCTATGAGGAAAGAGTGACAAAGAGGAGGTCTCCCAAGAGCAGGCCAGAGGCCAGGTAAACTAGTGCTCTAGGGCTGGCCAGATTTGCCACTGACGATAACTTTTGTCATTGGACTGGGGACCAGGAGAGAGAAAAAGGTAAAACAGAGAAACGGCTCCACTGTCTAGGAGGAAAATGACCTTTTGTTTTTTCTGCCATTATGCTCCTCAACATTGATGCCAAGAAGTGGAGTGTGGACAGGAGGCTGGGACCCATCAATCCATAGGAGGTGGCACCTCACCTTCCATCTGAGTGATGGGGGCACTTAGACCTCCAGTGGTTACCCTTGCAGGAGGGCAGGGTCCCGGTTGGGGGGGGCTGTCTCCCACGCTGTCCCCCTTAAGCATTCTCTGCAGAAATGCCCTCCTGCCCACCATGGTAGCAAGTTCAGGATACAGGCCCCAGTCGGTGGGGCCCTCTCTGAGGCAGCAATGAGGCCATGGTGTCTCTTATCTTTTTCTCTCCTGTTAGTAAGGTCCCGGACCTTACAGGAATAGCCATAAATACAGACATGGCTATAAATTACAGACATGCTAGCCTGTTACTTGGTTCAATGACTTTTCCCTTCAGCCACAGTCTGAGTTTTTTACGAATATCTGGGACTGTTAGAAATTTATCTTTGAGGAGAAACCTCTCTCACCTGTGACTCTGAGTCCACCGTGGTATGCTTTCTGATAGGTTGTTGCTGTAAAGTAAATTGTTATTTTACATTGACACCTGACACTCTGGAGAGCAGTCTCTGAACTTTTCTGGGCCTCAGTTTCCTCATTTGAAGAATGAGGATCTGGTCCTAGGTTAAAACTATCTTTTCCTACTATGAGATGGCTGAAAGTGACATTAATGCCACTTATCTTCTTTACCATTTTTTATTTTTTATTTTTTAGTAATGCTGGGGAAGGAACCCAGGGCTTTGCACATGCTGGGCAGACATTCTCCCATTGAGCTACTGCCTCAGCCCCAAATATTTATTATTATTACTTTTTTACTTTGCTGTACTGGGCTTGAACTCGGGACTTTCTGCTTTGTAAAGTTGGCACTCTACTGCTTGAGCCATTATAATCATTTCCAACCTGAGTGGCCTGGGCCAGAACCATTGCTTTTTCTAATGAGAGAAATTTGTATAGGGAACCTGTAGTACTTTTTACTCTCATATGAAAAGGTCTCATGTAGTGAGTATGGTATTGTAATTAAGGAACCCTGGGAAAGCCATTCTTCTTTGGTCACCCAAGGCATTACTGCAGGCCAGGCCTCTAGTACAAAGCTTTCCAACAATCATACAGCCAGAAACACTGGAAGGTGCAGGGCCCATCTAGAAAGAACAAAATCTTAGGATCCTGGGCTGTACTGGGCTTGAACTCAGGACTTTCTGCTTGTAAAGCCACTCTACTGCTTGAGCCATATAATCATTTCCAACCTGAGTGGCCTGGGCCAGAACCCATTGCTTTTCTAATGAGAGAAATTTGTATAGGGACCTTAGTTTTACTTTTTTACTTATAGAAAAGGTCTAATTGGAGTATGGTATTGTAATTTAAGGAACCCTGTGAAAGCCACTTCTCTTGGTCACCCAAGGCATACTGAGGCCAGGCCTCAGTACAAAGCTTCCAACATCTACCAGCCAGAACACTGGAAGATGCAGGTCCCATCTAGAAAGAACAAAATCTTAGGATCTGTCTTTTTAGCTAACAGCAGGCCCAAGTATTTCCTCTTTATGTGCATAAAATGCTCCACCCCTCCCTTTTACAAGTCCTACCTTTTTAACAAAGAAATCATTTGTAAAGTTAGAGAAGGGCATTCAGAGGGCGTTTCAGGCCAAATAACAGTGCCATATGGGACAACTAGTGTTAATATTTGGAGGGAAAATTTATGCTGAGGCCAAAGGTATAGAAAATTCTAAATGAGAAGTTTAGAGACCACAGTAATGTCATTTTGTTATTTCTGGAACTATAACCTTGAGCTAACAATTGGCTTACAAGGGCTGGGTCTGATGCCCTGAGGTGTGAGGTGGGGCTAGGAGCAGAACTTGTGCAAGGCCACTCCCTCCACACACACCTGGGACAAATGACCCTGACTGCCTAGGCCTCATCCTGTGACCTGTCGCCCCTCCCCCCTTCCTGTGTACTCTGCGTGCATTTATTCTAGGGGAAGTGGCAGGGGGTCACAGCCATCGCCACGTGTGGCTGGCTGCCCAGGATGTACTGGGTCCTCTATGGATTTTCTTAGCTATGGCAGGTGTTTTTGCTGTGTCCAGGAGCCAGCATCCTGTGCACAGGTGCGCCTGTTTGCTTTCCCTCCTCCCCTCGTGGGGGCGGAGTTAGAGCGTAAGTGTGGCAGCTGCAGGTTTTTGTAACTGCTTTTTGTAAAGGGCTGATTTAAAGTTACGTTAGACTGAGAGGCCTGGCAAAACTAGTTGGAATAACTTAAGTCATAAGGTACCATGCTACAAGTTTTTCATGGGAGACAGGGTCCCAGTAAGCCCAGGGAGGGGAAGGCAGACAGAGACAGAGGACACGTGGTGAAACCAAGAGAGGCAGAAAAGGTGAGCTGACATCTTAGGTAAGGGAGGGAAGGCAGAGCCTGGAGGCATGACACAGCTTAAGGATTAGCCATCACCTGTGCCTCCAGGTTGCTCCCATTGATGGTACTCGCAGGCTTTCAGCAAAAACAAAACCTCCACTCTCTCTCCGGGGCTTGTCTCAAGCCCACAGGAAGGGAGCGTGAGCTCTCCAGAGCTGGAATATGTTGAGGCCAGAATTGGCAAGGAGTGGCTTGCTTAACTCCATGACAGGGAAAGTTTTTCAAGGAAGATAGGAGGAGATAGTATGGTAAGCAGTGGCAAGAAGTCTGTTTACATGGGGAAGGAGGAGGTTTGGAGAGGAATTGGCTGATTTAGAAACTGGTTTACAGGCTGATAGAATCTGCGCAAGGGGAACAGAAAGTTCAGAGGGAGGGTTTGAAGTCAGGAGCCGGATTTAGACGGAGTATGAAAAGGCTTGGACATAATGGAATCTCTCCCATCGTCCCGATCATTCACAGTAGTTTATATGTCCCATAAAAGGTTGGATCTAAAGACCCGAAAAGGGGCCAGTGATTTTGGTGTCTAAAGGCTAAGTGGGCCAGATTTGAGTGCAAAAAGGATCAAATTTTTGGTTTATATCTGGGGTCAAACCCAAGGTGTCTAAATTATTGAGGAGGCATTCAATGGGGAGTCAGACGGCAGAGAAGATGTAGAAGCACCCATATGAGGGACCCGGTCCCGAATGGGAGAGGAGGGATATTATGTACTATGGAGGCGTTCCCGGCGCAGCACAATATCTGAGAAAATGCAAAGGCGTTGAGAATCAGTCGTCACTGAGTTCAGGTGGTTTGCAGCCAGAGCCTACGGCTTGGGTACCTAGGCCTAGGCTTTTTGTAGGGTCCGAGACCCTGAACCAATCCAGCCCCTGGGAGAAGGGGATCCCTCTAACTTCTGAGCCACCCAGAGATAGCCCAAAAGCAGGGGAAGGTTCTAAAACCCAGAGACACCGAAGGGAAGACCGCAAAGGGAGCCAAGAAGGGTAGTGGACTCACCAAAGAATGTCCGGTGTTGGATGCGAGAGGGCGATCGGGAGGATGAGTCCTGGCAGTCACATCCTCAGGGTGGTCATGGGTGAGTTGGAATCAGGGTCCCACCAGGATTAGTGGGAGCCCCTATCCAAGTCATGGCACCAAAATGTTGGAAAAGTAGGCCCCAAAGTGACCACGTGGAGAGGAGTGATTGGCCAAGAGATTCTTTATTGCCGGTGAGAGAAGGAGAGAGCCAAGAGAGAAGAGCAGGAAGGGCAGGGCTTAAATACCCTCAGTGGGACTCAGCATGATCTGATTGGTTAGGATCTTATGGTTTATGCTGATTGGAGGTTGGGCAGAAGGGGAGAAATTCAAGCTTAGACTTGAGCAGACTGTGACCCTGGAAACAGAAGCTTAAGGGTGCAGTAAGAACCGAAACCTATCAGCGCATTATTGCCAACAGGGAAGGTTACCACTGTGTAGTAGGTTATAAATTGATGACCCCAACTGCTAAATTAGGGCTGCGCTTGGCTTCTTTTTCCTATGAAAAAGTTTTTGAAAATTCTGTTTTAAATGTAGAAAATGAATGTTAGAATCTGTATTTTGGCTTCTCTTGAAAATTATGATGACCCACTATTATTGAGTCCAGAGTATAGGCGATAGAACAATGGGGGCAGTTAGTAATCTGTCCCTTCCTTACACCAGCATGTTCTACTTAACTTGCCAGAGGCCCACCACCCATTGTAACCTTGACCATTTCTGATAGCATTTGCATTGTAAGGCAAAAATGGTGAATGTGCCACCACAATCATTCATCGTACTTCTTGATTATTTGAATTTAATAGTAAAGCTTCCATATGGGTTTTATTTATTTTGTTTTTTCCTTTGTGCTGCAATGAAGATCTTTTGGGTGGAGTTTTTTTTCTTTTTTTTTGTTGGCAGTACTGGTGGTTTGAACTTCAGGGCCTCATGCTTACTAGGCAGGTGCTGTTCCCATTAGCCACTCTGCCAGTCCCTGTTTCGTTGTATTTGGTGTTTCGAGATATATCTCAGGACCCCATCTCTGCCTCCTGAGTAGTTAGGATACAGGGGTGGCCTACTGGTGCCCAAGCATGAGATCCTTTATTGTACCTTTTGTCCTAAGATAACTTCATAGAGTAGGATTGCTGGATCAGAAAAGTTTTCATGTTTCAAGTTTTTGATAGTTATTTATTATTAAACTCGTTTTTCATAAAGATTATAAAAAATGTACGGTTCACAATTTTATATGAGACTGTCTTGATTGTCATGCTCACTGTTACAAAGAGATAGTTAAAATCTTTTGCAATCTGATAGATAACTATTGTTTTCTTTTTTTTTTTTTTTTTAAGTTCTAGCAGATTTATTTAAGTATAAACAGGGATAGAATAGGGAGAAATTAAGAGAGGAAAAGTACCTCCTTGCTAGAAATGCGGAGTGGAAGAAAGTTCAAAGATGGCCCACCTTTGTGGGTTTTATATGCTCTGACTGGGGAAATGCATGTTCACCAAGTCAAAAGCCTGAGAAACCCCTAATTCATGAGTACAGGGTCTGGGTGGCCAAGATGGAAGCTGTCTTTTTATTTTAAAAACATGAGATACGATACTTGGCTTACCCAAACACAGGACAATAGGTGTTTTAGGTCTTTCTTTTGCTAAACATTTGCCTTTCCATTTTTCTGTCTCTCTGTCCTTACAGACAGGTCTGCAGCAACTTAACATCTTTAAGGGGAAAGCAGATGTAGACACAGCCCCTTTTTGATCTCCCTGTTTTGAACTGAAACCATGGATAAGGGAGGAACTAAACTGCCCTAGTACTTCTGTTCCAAAGTCTGAGTCTTTGACCCTTTTTTTTTTTATTCATATGTGCATACAAGGCTTGGGTCATTTCTCCCCCTGCCCCCACCCCTCCCTTACCACCCACTCACCCCCTCCCTCTCCCCCCCCCTCAATACCCAGCAGAAACTATTTTGCCCTTATTTCTAATTTTGTTGTAGAGAGAGTATAAGCAATAATAGGAAGGAACAAGGGTTTTTGCTGGTTGAGATAAGGATAGCTATACAGGGCATTGACTCACATTGATTTCCTGTGCGTGGTGTTACCTTCTAGGTTAATTCTTTTGATCTAACCTTTTCTCTAGTTCCTGGTCCCCTTTTCCTATTGGCCTCAGTTGCTTTTAAGGTATCTGCTTTAGTTTCTCTGCGTTAAGGGCAACAAATGCTAGCTAGTTTTTTAGGTGTCTTACCTATCCTCACCCCTCCCTTGTGTGCTCTCGCTTTTATCATGTGCTCATAGTCCAATCCCTTGTTGTGTTTGCCCTTGATCTAATGTCCACATATGAGGGAGAACATACGATTTTTGGTCTTTTGGGCCAGGCTAACCTCACTCAGAATGATGTTCTCCAATTCCATCCATTTACCAGCGAATGATAACATTTCGTTCTTCTTCATGGCTGCATAAAATTCCATTGTGTATAGATACCACATTTTCTTAATCCATTCGTCAGTTGGGGCATCTTGGCTGTTTCCATAACTTGGCTATTGTGAATAGTGCCGCAATAAACATGGGTGTGCAGGTGCCTCTGGAGTAACCTGTGTCACAGTCTTTTGGGTATATCCCAAGAGTGGTATTGCTGGATCAAATGGTAGATCGATGTCTAGCTTTTTAAGTAGCCTCCAAATTTTTTCCAGAGTTTGTACTAGTTACATTCCCACCAACAGTGTAAGAGGGTTCCTTTTTCCCCGCATCCTCCCAACACCTGTGTTGGTGGTGTTGCTGATGATGGCTATTCTAACAGGGGTGAGTGGAATCTTAGTGTGGTTTTAATTTGCATTTCCTTTATTGCTAGAGATGGTGAGCATTTTTTCATGTGTTTTTCTGGCCATTTGAATTTTTTCTTTTGAGAAAGTTCTGTTTAGTTCACTGCCCATTTCTTTATTGGTTCATTAATTTTGGGAGAATTTAGTTTTTTAAGTTCCCTATATATTCTGGTTATCAGTCCTTTGTCTGATGTGTAGCTGGCAAATATTTTCTCCGACTCTGTGGGTGTTCTCTTCAGTTTAGAGACCATTTCTTTTGATGAACAGAAGCTTTTTAGTTTTATGAGGTCCCATTTATCTATGCTATCTCTTAGTTGCTGTACTGCTGGGTTTCATTGAGAAAGTTCTTACCTATACCTACTAACTCCAGAGTATTTCCTACTCTTTCCTGTATCAACTTTAGAGTTTGTGGTCTGATATTAAGATCCTTGATCCATTTTGAGTTAATCTTGGTTTAGGGTGATATACATGGATCTAATGTTTCAGTTTTTTGCACCTTTTAATATTTATTAAAAATAATACAATTTCCCTGTCTCATCTCTCTATCCTACCTCATTTTCCACCCCCCCAATCGACTTTGGCCCCTTTTGATCTTAAAAGATGTGTAGAGGGTGGATGGTCTGTTTTTCATAGCTGCTGCTGAGCAGAAATTGGGTGTCTGCCCTACCTAGCAAGGATCCAAAAAGTCATTTTTATATCTTATTTAGAAGGTGACAAAGGAAATTTAGTTGGCAGGAAATTCAGTTGACAGGCTACCAAGATCAGAACCAAAAGAAGTCAAGTATTTTTTTTTACTAAAAGAGAAATTAGTGAAAACCATCCTGAACTGTTTTCTTTATGGGTAAAGTTAATAGGATTCTTAAGAAGAATCATAAAAACATAAAGGAAATGTAAAGTCTGTAGGTTTAATGTATTGAAAACATCTGTCATCCACAGAAACAACATAGCAGATTGATAGCTACTATTTAAGATGGCCAATTCTGTTATCCATTCCATTGTCTATTTGAGATGGTGGTCAGGTTAAGCGCTACCCTCTGTGAAACAGTGTTTTAGGTTCCATAGTGAGGCCTCTTGAAGGGACAACTTTGATTAGATGCCTTAAATCAGGAATAAAATTTTTCAGACCTTTTATGAACTTGGAGTTTTCTCTTTTTTTGTAAGAACTTGAAAAGAAAAATAGGTTTTAATTTTGAATGTGGGAGCCAAGAAGTAACATCAAAACAGTTTTGAAAAATTAAGCCATATGCCAACAGTGTTCTCCCCACCTTTTAATAAAAATTTTCTTTAACGTCATTGTCCTGCCTTTAGTTACATGTAGAGTCGAAGCCCGTATCTTAATTTAAAATTTTTAGGGCTAGACTTTTGCCCATTTTTTGATACTAAATTTTATTTATCTCTTGCAAGCCAACAATTTACTTCTAATGGGCTTAGGCTGAAATCATTGCTGAGACTGTTTTGAACTTCCCCTTGACAAGTCCCTTTCTACTTCGATGCAGCAACTGGGATGCTGGACTCTCTCAGAAGACCAGGTACTCTTACTTTAGTAGTTGCCTCTGAAGTGTAACTGTTTTTAAAATTCTAATATTCAATTACGATGCAAAGATTGGGTGGAGATGCCTTAAAATGGACTTATTCAGGACAATGCTTACATTATTTAAATAAAAGATTAAGAGTCTCTTTTATATTTTATTTTTGAGCATTTATTATATACCAGGCATTTAAGAAAGTGTAATTTATTCATGAATATAAATGCATAAATTAAAAAAAAACCAAAACATAGTGCCAGTCATGGTTGCTGACACCTAGTGCAATTCCCATTGCTAAAGAAAGTGGAGAGGAGGAATAGAGAGTTCAAGGCCAGCCTGGGCTACATAGTTCAAAGCTACATAGTGAGACCTGTCACAGCCACCCACCCCCCAAAAAAACCCATAGTGTTATAAAGCCAATTATAAGAAATAGTAAGTAATTTTTCTGCCTTACCCTCCCCATTCCTAGTTCCTCTTTCTTCTTGTCAGAGGCAACCACTTTAATTTCTTTCTGGTGATTACCATTTTGTTTCTACATTTCATCCATGTCTTACTCTTTTATTTGTGCATATTATCATTTGACTTCTAAACTGAAAATTAGGACTTAGTACTCTTTGCAATTCCCCTATTGCCTAAGAAGCTATTTATTTCCATCTCATCTTCCAATATAGGTAAAACTGTTCATTTTATTGAGGCTAATACGGCCACAGCAATAGTATTTATAAGCTGAGCCACGTCATAACTACAGTTACATTTTTTATTACACAACTCTTTGGTTTCCAAGGGAATTATAATTGTTATTTTTGTTCGCTTAGTGTTCTAACTACCTATTAATTGTTTTAATCCGCCTCTTCTTATTTGGACTGAGTTTGGTTTATTTATTATTTATTTTTTGTGGTACTGGGGTTTGAACTTAGGGGCCTACCACCTTAACCACTTCCACTAGGCCCATGTATGATTTTTTTTTCTTTTTTTTTTAGATAGGTCTCTAACTATTTCCCCATTGCTGGCTTTGAATGGTCATCCTCCTAATTCTCTGTTTCCTAGTTAGCTAGGATTTACAAAGCGATGAGCACCGGTGCCCTGCATCTAAACCCTTAACTTCTTTACCAGAACCACCAGAACTTCCTCTTTGGCCAGAGCCATCCATCTGCCCTCTGCCATCCTCTCCTCTCGGACTGACTGTATCCAGGTCTGCTGCCCCAGCTTATCCTGGATTCTTTCACCTCTCTTCTGTGGTAGATTTCTTCTACTACAGGAATTGAATTCGGTGCACTACCACTTGAGCCTCTCCCATTATTCATTTTCTTACTAAGTATTTTTTTCTCCTATTTTCATCTCTTAATTTTTCCTCTCATTCTCCTTGGGAAATTCTATTAAGTGTACTTATTAATTTTTCTGTTTTGAATTTTAATTTATTTCTATCATATTTAAGTAATAAGAGCTTGGGAGATTCTCTGAGTATACATTTTCAAATAGCTTCTGTTTTCTGTTCAATGGGTATTTACATATCTTAGAGCATTAGAGATTTTTGACATTTTCCTCTGCTCCTGCTTGACTCTTTTTCATCTGAGTTCCTTTTTATAAATGCTTATTTTGGTCTTTTGTCTTTCATATTTAAAAGCTTTTCTCAATATTTAGAAGCTTGCCTTGTCTAATTTGTGTTAAGGAGACATAGAATGCGTTTTGAACTGGGTGTGATATATATGCCTTGTAATCCTAACCCTGGGGAGGCTGAGGTAGAGGATCATGAGTTCAAGGACCAGCCTGCGTTACAGAGCTAAGTTAGAGGCCATCTTTGGCGCTATAACTAAGTTCCCTGCCTCAAAAAAAAAATGTCTAGTTGGGTTCCATAAACTGAATGAATAGGTAAATAAAAATGTGTTATATACTACCATTGGATATTATCAGTTGATAAAAAGGATGCATCTATAACATGGATTAATTTTTTTTCTTGGGACAGTCTGTCTCACTATGAACCCAGGCGCTAGCTTTCAAACCACACCGATCTCCTGAACTCCGCCTCCCTAGGGCTGGCGGATTACAGGGTGCACCCCCATGCCTGGCTCTATATGGATGGGTATATTTTTAACTGTAATAAGAACTCTGTGCCTCAAGCACATTGCACATTGTTTTGTAACTGTTACTTTATTTGTCTCCCAATTTTCTTTCCCAAATTGGAAACTGCCCCATGAACTGCAGTCCCCCCATTCCCTTGCCCTGGCCTCTGCTTGCTCTAGATGATCAACCATCAAGCTGGGGACCTTCTGCTTCTATCCAGGTTGAAATTTGAGTAGTGTGAGGAGGAGCTCTTCTTGGGCGGCTGACAGTCCCTGGCTCTTTAGTGCCCAGACCTAGGGCTTTAGAGTGCAGAGCCACAGGCTTACAGTTGTAATTGTCTGGAGAGCTAGGGTCTATTTGCTCCAGGCTTTAGAAAGCCAGAGACTTACGGCTCCAGGCACTCAGGTTGGGCTTATTGCTCTGAGCTTTTGACCATAGCAGCCCAGGGAAGCTCAGCAGGCATGTAATCCAAAGCCCACAGGCAGCACCTGCCTGCTAGCTGTTAATTAAGATCCCTCAGCTGGGACCACTTGGCTCCTACAGAGGCCTACTGTTAAAATAGTTCTCGGCTACAGATGCCAGACACCGCTGGCTCTTGACACAGCTAATGTTGACCTCTGAGGACCTCCTACTGTCTGAAGATGCTTGACCTTAAGGTTTGGCAACTCTCTAGAACTCTTTCTACTGATCAGGAGCTGCAGTTTCTTGTCTCTGATTTTCTTGTCTCTCAGCCTTTCTACCTTTCTTCAGTCAGTAATACTAAAGCTCTCTTACCCTCTTTTTTTGCCTTTTGTTGTACTCCATCCCACATTGTTCTTTTCTTTTTTTTTTTTTCAAATGTTCAAGGCTCATGCTTGCTTGCAGGTGCTCTGCCACTTGAGCCACACTCTCAGCCCTTTTTGTTTTAGTTATTTTTAAGTGGATCTTCAACGTTTTCTGCTCCCAGATGGCTAGTCTTAAACCAACATCCTTCCTGATCTCTGCCTTATTGAGTAGCTGGGATTACAGGTGTGTACCACCATGCCTGGCGCACCATCCTTCATTTTCTGCTCCCTGTTATTTCTGCCCCTTGCTACGTTGGAATGCTTCAGCTGCCTCTGTTGCTACTTCCTGCTGTTGCTGTTGCCCTGCCAACTGCTACAGTTTGCTCATGCTGTCCTCCTATTTGTTTTACCATCTTCAGCTGCCCTACTAATGATAAAGTCAAAAAAGTAGACAAGAAAAGTGCATTTCAAAAAATCTCATTGGGTGAATGCCAACATCGGGGGCAGCAAAGGAGGTTGTTCTTCCCTCTAACACAGGTGATCTTGGGAAATTATGCTAAGCTGAAAAAAAACAGTCACATGGATCATGTAGTGTGTGATTCACATTTATGAAATATTCCAAAATAGGTAAATCTATAGAGACGATAATGGGTTAGTGGTTGCTGAGGGTAACGGAGTTGTGACTGCTAAAGGATACAATGTGTGTTTTTAATTTTTTCTCCTTCCTCCCTTCTTCCCTTCCTTTTTTGGTGGTAATAGGGTTTGAACTCAGGGCCTTACACTTGGTAGGCAAGTGAACCACATGAACCATGCCCCAGCCCAGTATCAAATTTCTTTTTGGAGTATTGAGTGGTAGTTGCACAGCTCTGGAAGTTTATTAAAAATCATTGAACTGAAGTGAGGGCTGGGGGAGAAGGAGGGAGCAGGGGCATAGGGGAGAGATGGCCCAAACAATGTATGAACATATGAATAAATGAATAAAATTAAAAATGAAAAAAAATCATTGAACTAGACTCTTCAAATGAGTGAATTATATCAATAAAGCTGCTGCATAAAACAGTAGTTGAAGCCAGGCACCAGTGGCTCACATTGGTAACCTTTTTTCTTTCTTTTTTTTTTTCTTGTTTTTGTGTGGGCGGGTGTGAGACTGGAGTTTGAACTCAGGGCCTCACAATTGCTAGGCAGTCACTCTACCATTTGAGCCACTTCACAGCAAGTGGCTCACAGCTATAATCCTAGCTACTTGTGAGGCTGAGAGCAGTTCAAGGCTAGCCCTGGAAAAAAGTTCCAGAGCCCTCATCTCAACCAATAGCTGGTAGCATACGTGTGTCATCCCAAGCTACATGCGAGGCTGAGATTGGGAAGATCAAGGTTCCAGGCCAGCCCAGGCGAAAAAAGTTCTTGAGACCCCCATCTCAACAGGTGGGGAGTAGGCTGGGTGTAGTACTGTGTGCCTATCACTATGGCAGGAAGCATAAAATAGAAGGATGGTGGTCTAAGCTTCTGGTTGGGAAAACAAACAAGTAGACCCTATCTCTAAAATAACCGCAGCAAAAAAGGGCTGGAGGCATGCTTAAGAAGGTAGAGTGCTGACTAGGCCAAGTTCTAACCCTGAGTTCAAAACCCCAGTGCTGCCCACCCCTCATAGTTGGTTGGAGATGACTTGAACATGCTATATGTGATTCTTTTTTTTTTTTTTAACAAGACAAAACAATACCCTTTTTATTTTTATTTATTTTCTTACCAGTACCCTTTTTATTTTTTAAAATGCTGGTGAAAATAGGTTTCCAATATGACATCCCATAAAAAATTTAAATGTTTAAACCAACCCGTGGATTAGTCACACTATACAGACTCATCAGAGTGTTTACAAGTGCCTAGAATATTTACAAATGGTATCTGTTAGGTAGTAAGGTTTTTTGTAAAGTGTGATGTGTATATTATGGAGAGACAAAGCAATTATTGACAGTTGTGAATGCATATTGTCATGTTCTTTTAACTTTGCAGTGGCTTGAAAACTTTAAAAATGAAAAGTCGGGAGCAGGCCTGGTGGTTCACCCCTGTAATCCTAGCTATTTGGGAGACTGAGATTGGGAGGATCACAGTTTGAGGCCAGTCTTGGCAAATAGTTTGCGAGACCCCCATCTCCAAAATAACCAGAGCAAAATGCACTGGATGTGTGACTCAAGCGGTAGAATGTCTGTTTTGCAAGTGTAAAGCTCTGAGTTCAAACCCCAGTTCCACCAAAAAAAAAAAAAGTCGAAAATATTATTTAAAAAATAATATTTACACTTGACATTAAAAAAAATGATTATAGCACAGCCGGTTTGGCAGGGCTTTTGGACTAGGACTCCATTGTCAGTAGCTGCAGAAGTCACTAAGTGTAAGGTTTTCTAACAACTGCTTAGTTTCTCCAGAGGCGAACTCTCGTCTTCCACCCCAGAGGAAAAAGGCTGCTGCTCATGCACTGTGTCCCCACATTCAATCTGTACACTTTTCTGCAATCTCCCCTTGTTTGGGGGTGTTGGTGGGGGTACTGGGGCTTGAACTCAGGACCTCACACTTGCTAGGTAGGCACTCTGCCACTTGAGTCACCTTACTTTTTCAGGTGACGTTTTGCCTCTTCCCTGGGTGGTACCTGCTATGATCAGGTCCAGAGCCTCTGGTTACTCATTACATGAGCTAAAATTTTACCGTTTGGAGGTATGAAGGGGTAGTTGCCTGCCTCTGTGGTATGGAATCTGGAGACTTCACCTTATCCTTCTGCTTTCACAGACACCAGTGATCCATTCCGCCCTGCTTCCCTGGTCTCTCTGGCTCACACCAATGTGATTTTTGGCGTTTTGGCCACCATATATAGGCCTAGGTTTTAGCCTTCTCTTGTTTGCCAAGTTGGTTACTACTTGTTTATTCATCTAAAAGTTAGTGTCTGAAGGTTAACACTATCCTGGGACTGAGTTCTAGCAATCAAATTACCTAGGTTTGTTTTCTTTAGCAATTTCTGTTTTGTTATGACCCTGAGTTACTTCTTTGTGCCTTGTTTTTATCAGTTTTATTGAGATCTAATTCACATATAATACAATTTACCCATTTTAAAGTATACAAACCTGTGGCTTTTAGTATTTTACAGAATTGTGCATCCATCACCATACCTAATTTTAGAATATTTTTGTCACCCCCGTAAAGAAACCTCATACCCATTAGCAATCACTTCCCATCTCACCCTTAAAACCCCAGCTCTAGGCAACCACTAGTCTGCTTTCTGTCTCTCTAGATTTGCCCATTCTGGACATTTCATATAAATGGGATCATATAATATGTGATCATTTATAATTAGCCTCTTTCGTTTACCATATTTTTGTGGTTCATCCATGTAGTATTTTTCTTCCTTTCTTTTTTTTTGGTTTTGTTTTTGGTGGTACTGGGGTTTGAACTCAAGTGCTTGTGCTTGTTAGACAGGTGCTCTACCACTTGAGCCACACCTCTATCCAGCAGCCTCCCAGCCTCCTTTTTTTTGGCAGTATTGGGGTTTGAACTCAGGGCCTACACCTTGAGTCACTCCGCCTTTTTTGTGATGTTTTTTTCAAGATAGGGTATCATGAACTATTTGCCTGGGGATGGCTTTGAACCAAGATCTTCCTGATCTCTGCCTCCTGAGTAACAGGATTACAAGTGTGAGCCAGCAGTGCCTGGCTTTTCATTATACTCCATTGTATGGATATCCCGAATTTTGTTTGTACTTTCATTACTTGGTGGGGAGTTGAGCTGCTTCTACTTTTGCGTATTATCAGTAATGGCACTGTGAATACCTGTGTACAAGTTTTTATGTGAACATGTATTTTCTTTTTTCCTGAGTAGATATATCTGGGAGTAAAATTGCTGGTTTATATGATAACTTTATGTTTAACTGAAGAACTGTCAAACTGTTTTCCAAGGTAGCTGCACCATTTCATATTCTCACCAGCAGTGTATGACAATTCCACTTTTCTAGATCTTCACAATACTTGTTATGTCAGTGTTTTTTATTAGAGCCATCCTTGTAGGTGTGAAGTGGTATTTCGCTGTGGTCTTGATTTATATTTCTGTAGTAACTAATGAGTGTCTTTTCATATGCTATGGTCTATTTTCATATTTTTCTTTGAAGAAATGTCTATTCAGATCTTTTGTCCATATTTTAAATATGTCATTTATCTTTTTTATTGTTGAGTTTTAAGAGTTTTTGTATTCATACTGATCCTTTATAAAATACATGATTTATAAATATTTGCTCTCATTGTCTTTTTACTTTCTCAGGAGGGTCATTAGAAACAAAGGGTTTGTTGTTTTTGGTGGGGGTTTTTTTTTGCACAATACTACAGCTCAAACTCAGGGCCTTGTACTTGCAAGACAGGTGCTCTATCATTTGAACCATCCCTTTTTGCTTTAATAATTTTTTGCCTAGGCTGGCCTAGACCTTGATCCTCCCTTATTGATTGAATGGCAGATGTGTACCACCATATCCAGCTTATTGGTTGAGGTGGGGTCTTGCTAACTTTTTGCCCATGCTCAATCCTTCTATTCTCTGGGTAGGTGGGATTACAGGCAGGAGTCACCATGCCTAGCCAAAAGTACAGAGTTTTTAATTTTGATGATTTCCAGTCACTTACTTTTTATTTATTGCTATTGCTTTCGGTGCCACATTGAAGAAATCATCACCTAACTCAAGGTCAAGATCTTATATTTTAGCTCTAAGAGTCTTAGCATTTTAACTCTTATATTTAGGTGTGTGATCCATTTTGAGTTAATTTTTGTGTGTCATGTGAGTTAGGGATCCAAATTAATTATTTTGTATGTGGACTTCCAGATATCCCAGGACTGTTTGTTAAAATTGCCTTTGTTATCATTTGAAAACAATGTGTTAAAAAGCACTCTGAACTCTTCACATTTAAGTATACTCTTTCAATGAGAGATAGTTTGCTGATAGATAAGTAGATTACTGGATCTAGGTGGAAAATTGTACCCAAAGTTGTTTTATTCCAAAAGCATAAAACATCCTTACAAATAAGTAATTTACCTAGCTTGCTTATTAAAGGTGAATTGAATGTCAATTGAAGGAAAAACTATTGATTTTACTTTGGGCTACTTTTGTTTATGACCAGCTTGAATGTTATCAGTTACTTGGAAGAATGACTTACCATTATTAAGTAAATTCTAGGAATGAGCCTTAAGATTTTTGATAAAAGGCCCATGATTAAACCCAACTTGTTCCCTTGTTTGCAGTATCTTATTAACAGGTGTGGCAGGTAATTTTTGATTTACAGTCACACAGGCCTCTTTCTGCCTCATGGATTCAGCACTGTTAGAGGATTGCTGCTCCCAAAGTGAATTTTGTGTACTTATTGTCAGCTCTCCCTCAACTTCCTCCCCTCAAACTTGAGGAAACAAACAAACAAACAAACAAAAAACCTGTTTAGCACTGTGGTAGGAAATAAAGGGCTGGGGCATGATTCAAGTGGTAGAGTGACTGGCAAGAAAGAGCAAGGCCCTGAGTTCAAACCCCACTACCTCAAAAAAAAAAAAAAAAAAAAAGGTATCAAGTAGAAAGAAACTTCACTGATTTATGTAGATTAGGATTTTCCAGCATTGAGAATAAATAATTTTACCCATTTTAGTTAAAAACAGGGAACATAGGAGTTCAATTTACAATTTTACTATTCAATTTACTTTTGTGTACTTTCAAATTTTTCATAATAAAAAGTTTTTAAGAAGTATAAGGTACCTTGGTTATTATATATTTTGAATTAGGATCCTAAATGTTGTTAATATCTTTGTAATTGACTTTGACTTGCATTCCAGATCCCACTGATCCCTGACTTTTCTCTTCAGGTAATTTATGCTGCCAGGGATGCCCAGATTTCCGTGGCTCTCTTTCTCCATCTTCTTGGATACCCTTTCTCTAGGAATTCCTCTATGGAAGAAAACAGTGACTCCATCATCTGGAGAAAAGTCTTGGAAAATTGCCGGAATGTGGTAGACATCCCATTCAGAAGCAAAGGCATTAGCAGATTGGGAGAAGAATTTAATGGGGAAACAACAGAATTTCAGCCGAAGCCAAGAAATAAAAAGTCTAAGATTGATGAAATGGTGCCAGGCAACCACCAAGGGAGAGACCCCAGGAAACATAAAAGAAAGCCCCTGGGGGTGGGCTATTCTGCCAGGTAACCGAGTTGTTCCCGGGACCAGCTTCGTGTGGTTCAGGGAGAATGCTAGGGTCAGAAGCTCTCCAGGAGTTAGCTTTACTCTTCCCTGCCCATCAGGGACATTTGAACTCTCTTTTACTTTGTGTATTTTCTTCTTTCCTCCCCCTCTTTTTTTTGGGGGTGGGGGATACTCTACTGGGGTTTGAACTTAGGGCCTCATCTTGAGCTGCTCTACCAGCTCTTTTTTGTGATAGAATTTTTCAAGATAGTGTTTCATGAACTATTTGCCCAGGCTGGCTTTGAACCATGATCCTCCTGATCTTTACCTCCTGAGAAATGAGATTTATAGGCATGAGCCACTGGCTATTTGACAGTTGGAGTGGAAATACAGCTTTGTCACAGACACTCATGTAACCTTAGAACTGTAACTTCTCCATTTGTAAAAGGGAGTATAATTATTATTCCTTATTTGTTTCATTTGTGAAAATGAATAACATGAAGTGCCCCATATTTTTCAGGAGAAAAACATCATCAAATTTCTTGTTCATTAGGAATGATACTTAGTTTTAAGTCAACGTTTTTCTCTAGCCAATGAGAATTTTTGGTACAACTTACACCTTACTTTGTAGTGGAAGTTGGTCCCTGCAGCAAAGTGCCTTTAGGAATTGGTTGATTAAAATAAAGGAAGTTTTGCATGTGAGCAGAAACAAATTCACTTGGCCCTCATTATTTTATCTTGAATGTTAAAATTTTTAATTTACTTTGTTTAATCCAGTGATAATGGCAGTTTTCTTGTTGCTCTGTTCTTGTGTTCACAGCAGAGCTATGTAAACACTACTCAACCCACTCCCTAGGTGTTCTAAACCTTAAGTATACAAAGTAGAGACATAAATGAACTCATTTCTAGTTCTGCTTCCTAACCCACATGTAGATGGACAATTGAACCTGGTTTCTTACTGTTTGTTTTTCCATACTTGGTGGGTCTGACTCCAGTGTTGAGAATAGTTTGAGTCACTCAGAGCATGGGAAGGCACAGGTTCCTTGACCAACAGCTTTCAGTGTGATATTTCTCTCTCCCTTCCCTGCAGAAAATCACCTCTTTATGATAACTGCTTTCTCCATGCACCTGATGGACAGCCCCTCTGCACTTGTGATCGAAGAAAAGCTCAGTGGTACCTGGACAAAGGCATTGGAGGTGTGAGATTCAGTGGTCATAGGTTCTTTGTAGTTACGTGCATATGAGTACTGACAGCAGTGGGATAAGGAAGAAGGGTGGATAGAGGAAGGCAGAGAGACCTTGAGATGTTTGGGACTGAGTCGTCACACCCTAGAAATAGTGTTCCCTGCCTGCACATAGCAGAGCATAGTTAAGATGGTGCTTCTTGCTAGGGAAGGAGGGGCAGCCCAGCACTGACACATTTTCTTTTCTCTTAAGAGCTGGTGAGTGAAGAGCCTTTTGTGGTCAGGCTACGGTTTGAACCTGCAGGAAGACCTGAATCCCCAAGAGACTATTACTTGATGGTTAAGGAGAACCTGTGTGTAGTGTGTGGCAAGACAGACTCCTACATTCGGTGAGTATGGCTGCCTTGGTTGTCTGCCTTAGTTGGAAACTGCCTGTGTAACCATGTGCAGAGTCCTCAGAGGCCTTGGTTGAGTTTGCCCACTGAGGCTGAGAGGCTTGGCCCCACGGGCATCCCAGTTTGCCCAAGAGCCTTGACACTCTGCCTGGCCTTCTCTAGCAGCCCCTATCCTGCCTGTTAGTGTCTGGAATGCAACAGTATTCTCAATAACCATCAGCCGTGGAGAAAGTGGCTTCCTTTTGCTCATAAGGACTGAAGAGCATTTCCTTCAGAAATTGTGTTCTTACAATCCTCCCTTGAGGCTGTAAAACTTTCTGAGCCTTGGTATTGGTCATGGAGTTTCCCAAAGGCTGCTTTTTTTTTTTAATGTCAGAGTCTCCATACATTGAAGGTAAGGCTTCCAGCTGGGCCTGAGTGCCCACACTTTCACCTGCCCCTGCCCTATGGGGTAATCCTTCCTTCCCCTCCTCTCCCCTTCCCTTTCTCCTTTTTTCTTCTCTCTCCCTCTCTCTCTCTCTCTCTCTCTCCTCCTCTCTCTCTCTCTCTTCTCTCTCTCTCTCTCTCTGTCTCCCTCCCTCTCTCTTTTGAGATAGGGTCTCATCATATAGCCCAAGTTGGCCTCAACTCTAATTCTCCTGCCTCAGCCTCCCGAATTCTGGAATTACAGGCGTGTACCACCACATACCATGCCTGGCTCCAGTAATTCACTTTCCTCTTTTCTTTTCTCCCTGCAGAATGAGACAAATAGTTGTTGCTGCCAAGAATTTTTCCTGAGCGCTTAATTCTTCCTAGGAAATAATGATGAACCTTGGTGAACCAGGGAAATAATGTCAGACTAAGGGATTCCTCAGATGAAGGAAGTTAGATCGTTCAGGTCACTAGGCATCTTTCAGAGAGTTGTTTTCCAAATGTCATAGTCCATTAGAATATCTTTTTCATTTCTCTGAGACTTTTTGTCTGGGAGCATAGCCTTTTCAAAGATTGCTGTTAACCTTGGCCTGCCCCTGGCACTCGATTGAAGCTTGATGGCAGGTGGGTGATCTATACTTGCTTCAAGGAAAGAGGAACCTAAAACACAGGTAGGAAAATAAGGCAGGTAGATAGGAGTCTAATGCACAGATAGGCTGAGAGCAAAATAGGTAGTATTACCTTCATATAATCTCTATTGGATTGTGGTGCCCAAGACTTCTCAGTGATGTTTAGGCCCAGGTTAGATTCCCAGTAACTCATCTGCTGGCTTCATGTGTGTTCTGTGTCATTGATAATGAACACTGTACCTCCAGGAAGAATGTGATTCCACATGAGTACCGGAAGCACTTCCCAATTGAGATGAAGGACCACAACTCCCATGATGTGCTGTTGCTCTGTACCTCCTGCCATGCCATTTCCAACTACTATGACAACCATCTGAAACAGCAGCTGGCCAAGGAGTTCCAGGCTCCCATTGGCTCTGAGGAAGGCTTACGCCTGCTGGAAGATCCAGAGCGCCGGCAAGTGCGTTCTGGGGCCAGGGCCCTGCTCAATGCAGAGAGCTTGCCTGTCCATCGGAAGGAGGAGCTGCTACAAGCACTCAGAGAGTTTTATAGCACAGACTCCATCACGGATGAGCTGCTTCAAGAGGCTGCCAGCCTGGAGACCAGGTACAGCCTCCATTCTGGTTGGAGGAGGGGTTGGGGAATAACCCAGGTGTAGTAATTCTCACTACTTCATGAAAATGCTTGCCAGGGAGGAGGCGTAAACCAGTGTCTAGACTTTGCTTATTATTAGCCCAGTAAGTGTCCAGTGGTTTATGATACCATGGGGGTGGAATAGAACACGCCATTTCAGAATTTCCTTTCCATAGATTTGCCTGTTATGAGATGTCTATTGTTGACATATTAAGTGCAGTCATTTTTATGATTGAGAGTTCAAATACAGCAGAGTTATATCCTATGCATTCTGTGCAGAGGTAAATCCTGAACTCAGCACATCAGATAAAAATCATAGTCCACTGATACCCCAAATCTCTGAAGTTGCCCATGAAGTAGTATATGTGGCTTTGTGTCCGTGGCTCTTCACATGGGTTTGTGAAAACTTCAACTAGTGCTTTTCCTGTCTCATGTATACCCCAGATCTTAGCCCATCGAGTGGCAGAATTACTGTACTATTTTTTTCTTTTTTCTTTTCTTCCTTGTTTTTTTCCTCCTTTCCTACGAGCATATCATTGAATTCGTATGACATAACTGAGCATACCTAAATAAGTTTACAGGTCCTGAAGAATGACTGAGTACATGGCTCCAATGGTAAGATCTCTGAGCCACCATGCATAGTACTGCTTCCTTAGCTGAAAGAATTAATAGAAGGATTTCAGTCCAGGAAGACCCAGGGATAAATGTGAGACCCTATTAAAAAACTAAAGCAAAAAGGGCAGTGGACTGGCTCAAATGGTAGAGTACCTGACTAGAAAGCATGAGGATCTGAGTTCAAACCTCAGAACCCCCAAAAACCAAAACAACAAAAAAACTTTATTGAAGCAAATATGTATTTCTTTATTCAAAAACTAAAGTATTGGGCTGGTAGAGTTGCTCAATTGATAGAGTGCCTGCCTAGAAAGCCTAGCAAGCCTAGCAAGCATGAGGCTCTGCGTTCAAACCCCAATACCTTGAAAAAAAAAAAAAAAAAACCAGAAACCAAAAAAACTTAAGTGTTTACTTCACACATGCTACTGGTCAATCACAGATATTGCAAATATTTACTGAACAGATATTATACACAGTACCTCTAGTACCAAGCTAATAAACTTTATATAAATTGTCTTGTTTCTTATAATGACTTGATAAGGTAGGATTTAGAGTTGTTATTGATAACTGCTAATATCTCTGGATTTAAATTTTCTTTTCAAAGTTTAAAAAAGATTTATTATTGAACTTTATCCCTGTAACTATTCTGTGCAGTTCTAGAATAAATGTTATTTTCTAAGTTTCATGTTAGATACCCTGAGGTTAAAGTTAAGTGACTTGCCAAGGTCATATCACAAATTAGTGAGACTGGCTTCTTTGACTAATTCCCAACTGACTTTCCTAAAACACCTAAACCTCCCCCTATGCCACAAATCTTTCTAAAAGGCATCTTGAATTAGATAGATGGATGCTGGATTGAGACTGAGAACAGCTGTTTAGAGACAGATCAAGTTAGTGGGAAGCTCATTAGCTAAATTATAAAATATGCGCAAATATCGGGAGAGCACCTAACATCACTCAGCTAGTGGGTGCTCAGGAGGAAGGACTGAGAGTGGAGTGTGGATGTAGGGAAAGAAGATGTGGGGGCAGGTGTTTCCTTGAGAAAGGTCATCTTTATCCACTGGAGGGAAGGGAAAGCCCTGCTTAGTGGCATCAGAACAGTTTTCAAGGCCTCCTGCCTAGTCAGGGAGGAGGCAGGGATTCATCTTTCCCTTCAACAGTGCCTTTTGCACAGCTGAGCAGCCACGGGAACATTTCACTGGGTCTGAAACACTCCTTACTCCTGTGCTCTGGCATTCTTTTAGCAAGAAAAATGGCACTGAAGAAGTGGATCGCCTTGGATTTTACATTAAGGCCTTGCAGTGTTTTAAGAAACTAGGCCACATGTGCTGATTTAAAAGTCTCACATTAATACAGGGTTTGGCTCAGAATAATGAATAGCTTAGAAGAAAGGTAGGCTGCTTCCTGAGGAACCTTGAACTAAGAACAAGACCAACATTCTTCACCATCATCAGCTAGCCAGTAGAGTTCCTCCTAGTGGGGCTGAGCATTATGCAGTGGCCTTCCTGTAAGTAGAACTCAAAACCCCCAAATGCTTTCAGCAGGATGTTGAACCTTACGTCCAAACTATTGAAGGGGTGTGTGTGTGGTGGGGGGGGAGGTAAAAGTAAGATAGAGAGGAAGAGGGAGGGAGAGAGGAAGGATGTTTTGAAAACATTAACCAGCCCTCTCAGAGTCTAACCACCTCCCATATGCCCTTGGCCTGTAGCATTTGAAGCTGTGTCTGAGACTGTCCTGTACTTTCCCTCAGGCCTTTTGCACTTCATGTTTTGGCAGGATTTCTAATGAAAACTACATTCCTCATGGGCTGAAGGTGGTGCAGCGTCACACCCAGCGTGGGCTGCGCTCCCTTATGCAGCTGGAGAGCCGTTGGCGACAGCACTTCCTGGACTCCATGCAACCCAAGCACCTGCCCCAGCAGTGGTCAGTGGACCACAACCACCAGAAGCTACTCCGAAAATATGGGGAGGACCTTCCCATCAAGCTGTTGTGATTGTGGCTTTCCACCCAGGTCAGGACAAGTGGGAAGCTGGAGCCAAGGTCAAAAAAGTCACCTCTTCCTGTTTTAATACATCATCAGTGGTCAAAGCCTGGATGACACAACTGAGAATTCTAACCTACACTAATCCCAGGGTGCTTCTGATGGAGCAAGGCAATTTTTTTTTTTTTCCATTCTCTTCTTTATTTTTTTTTTTTTTTTTTTCATTTTTCTTTTATTATTCATATGTGCATACAAGGCTTGGTTCATTTCTCCCCCCTGCCCCCACCCCCTCCCTTACCACCCACTCCACCCCCTCCCGCTCCCCCCCCTCAATACCCAGCAGAAACTATTTTGCCCTTATCTCTAATTTTGTTGTAGAGAGAGTATAAGCAATAATAGGAAGGAACAAGGGGTTTTGCTGGTTGAGATAAGGATAGCTATACAGGGCATTGACTCACATTGATTTCCTGTGAGTGTGTGTTACCTTCTAGGTTAATTCTTTTTGATCTAACCTTTTCTCTAGTACCTGGTCCCCTTTTCCTATTGGCCTCAGTTGCTTTAAGGTATCTGCTTTAGTTTCTCTGCGTTAAGGGCAACAAATGCTAGCTAGTTTTTTAGGTGTCTTACCTATCCTCACCCCTCCCTTGTGTGCTCTCGCTTTTATCATGTGCTCATAGTCCAATCCCCTTGTTGTGTTTGCCCTTGATCTAATGTCCACATATGAGGGAGAACATACGATTTTTGGTCTTTTGGGCCAGGCTAACCTCACTCAGAATGATGTTCTCCAATTCCATCCATTTACCAGCGAATGATAACATTTCGTTCTTCTTCATGGCTGCATAAAATTCCATTGTGTATAGATACCACATTTTCTTAATCCATTTGTCAGTGCTGGGACATCTTGGCTGTTTCCATAACTTGGCTATTGTGAATAGTGCCGCAATAAACATGGATGTGCAGGTGCCTCTGGAGTAACAGTCTTTTGGGTATATCCCCAAGAGTGGTATTGCTGGATCAAATGGTAGATCGATGTCCAGCTTTTTAAGTAGCCTCCAAATTTTTTTCCAGAGTGTTGTACTAGTCTACATTCCCACCAACAGTGTAAGAGGGTTCCTTTTTCCCCCATCCTCGCCAACAACCTGTTGTTGGTGGTGCTGCTGATGATGGCTATCTAACAGGGGTGAGGTGGAATCTTAGTGTGGTTTTAATTTGCATTTCCTTTATTGCTAGAGATGGTGAGCATTTTTTCATGTGTTTTCTGGCCATTTGAATTTCTTCTTTTGAGAAAGTTCTGTTTAGTTCACATGCCCATTTCTTTATTGGTTCATTAGTTTTGGGAGAATTTAGTTTTTTAAGTTCCCTGTATATTCTGGTTATCAGTCCTTTGTCTGATGTATAATTGGCAAATATTTTCTCCCACTCTGTGGGTGTTCTCTCCAGTTTAGAGACCATTTCTTTTGATGAACAGAAGCTTTTTAGTTTTATGAGGTCCCATTTATCTATGCTATCTCTTAGTTGCTGTGCTGCTGGGGTTTCATTGAGAAAGTTCTTACCTATACCTACTAACTCCAGAGTATTTCCTGCTCTTTCTTGTATCAACTTAAGAGTTTGGGGTCTGATATTAAGATCGCAAGGCAATTTTTTAAGGGAGCTTCTGGGTTTTTTTTTTTTTTTGGTGGTGGTACTGGGTTTTGAACTCAGAGCCTTATGCTTACTAAGCAGACACTTTGCCATTTGAGCCACCTGCCAGCCCTCTGGTTTTGAATTTTAATTGGGCAGAGTCAGTATTTTGTTTCTTTTATTTCTGTAGATAAGAAAAGTCTTGGCTATTATGTTTATTCTCTCTCTTCTGCTTTCCTGGTGAAGAGGGAAAATAAACACTTCTCCTTGAAGTGACTTATCAAGATTCTCAGATGTTTGTAATAGGTGTCTGTTAATTTATCTCACTGTATTGGTTTATGTATCACAGGGGCTGTCTACTGTGTTAGTCCAGTCAGGTTACAAGTGAGATAATATTCTTCTAGAAGTTGAAGAAGTGACTAAAGATTCATTTTCCCAGTTCAACCTCATAGTTCTAATATCTCTTACTGCCCTATAATCCATCTAGTTTGGGTCCATCCCACCTCAGTCTGTTTATTTCACATACTTGAAAAAGCTCCCCTTTACACGTCCAGGACCAAAGCAGCAACTTCCTGCCATGTGCGTCATTGGGGGAATCCTTTTTTTGGAAATAAGCCTTCTGCCCAGGTGGGGCAGACAGAAGCACACACCCTCCCCCAGGAGAGCTTTGATATGCTCGCTGCTCAGCTTTTCCTTATGCTGTTTATTGTCTGATTATTGTACTTCTCCTGTCTAGAACTTGTAAGGTTTTCAGCTTAATCCTTTTCTAAAAGGAAGATTATCTTTTCTCAGACTCACTGTCAGTTCCCTTCCATGTTCCATGTTCCATCAGATTTACTCTACTGACCTTTTCTCAGCACTTAATTTGCTCCCAGAGCCATTTGGTCAGGTTACAGTGTCAGGACTTCACCTCCTTCTGAAGGCTGGGACACAAATATTAACAATAGAGGCCCAAAGTATGGTGTTTCATTTTTCAAATGTTATATTACTACTTAAGTATGAAATAATTTATTAGTGACTGGTATTTTGTCTAAACTATTAGGAAGACTTTATTTGAACTGATCTTATCAAACTTAAAAGTAATTTTATGTCCAGAATCCAGTAAGAGCATTGTTTTGGAATTGTATCCAAATAATTATTTGACATTGATAAATAAAACTACTTCTAAGCATAACAAGGCTGATTTAAATGTGAAACTTTTCTTAGGAACTTTATAAAATCAGTAAGTATTCTTTGGGGGAAGAGCTATTTCTCTAACAGGTCCCTACCTTGTAGCAAGACCCTAGTATGTGAGCATGAATATACCATATACACAGTGCACCACAGGCTGTCAGGCTGTCTTCAGCCCACAAACCCATGTGCACAGCCTGCATTCTTTTCTGCTACCCTTTTCCCCACTTGCCCACAAACAGGCATTTCTGAGATCTAAACTCGAAGTCCTTGAGAACCAATAGTATCAGCCACTTTTGGAGAAATATACACTCAATGTAGAAGATTTTCATAGAGCTTATGTCTCCTAGCTGTGGAGCCCAGGATTGAAAGAGCCATGGAGATGGATAGGGAAGATGGCCTGGTACATGGTCATTGTATTTGCCAGTCTTACCACAAGATGGCACTCATAGACTTGTTTTTATATTTATTCCTGAGAAACAAGCAACTTTTATACATGGTTACTGAATATAAATCCTGACTGCATTTCAAATTTTGTGTGGTTAATTTGAGTCACTTTGATAGCTTGATAAGAAAACCCTTTTCCTCTGAAACAAGGGAGTTCTGTCTTTCCCTGTGGTCCTCATATGAAGATGTGAGAAATGCCTAGGAAGTCACCTGAGGTGTACTGATTGCAGTACACCTGCTGCAGCAGGAACTGAGTCCCAGTGGAGTTACTTGCAAGGCCCAGTGAAATAGAGCCAGCAGCAAATAGAGGAGAAAGCTAGACAGTCATATAAGACCTCTCATAAACTCACGGTGTACATCTGAATCTTTTTTTCTGGAACTGCCTTGAACTTTTGCAGCCTTTCCAAAAGACTGACAGTTGCCATTTAAGAAATGAGAGATTTAGGGTAGACATTTTAAAAACATAAATACTATTTTTTTCTTACATAAAAGTCATGTGTGTTCATTAGAGAAGAGCCAAAAACAGTAAAACCACCCATCTACCCTCCATCTAGAATAGAGATATACTTTGCTGTTGTACCAAAAGAATTTCCTTTTAGTACTAAAATACATGTGTATGTACATATATACATATATATGTGTGTATATATGTAATATTTGAAAAAATTGAGGGTCATACATATATACAGGTTGGTATCCTAATTTTTTTTTGCCTAACACAGTGTCATAAGTAGTCTGATGGGTCCTTAAATTTTTGGAAACAAATTTGTAGTAGCTCTACCTTCCTTTACTTATCCATTCCTGCTCTTGAAAATTTTGGTTGTTTAAGATCCTCTGTTATTACCAATGATACCATGATGAACTTTCTTGAGTATATCTCTTTGACTATATCATTGGTAAGTTCTTTAGGATAGAATCCTAGATATTAGATTGTGAGGAAGGGTCTGTCTTTGTTGGGGTGAGTACAAATTGGTATGAGCTTTAGGAGTATATGTTAAGGAATGCAGCTCTTTGACCCTTTAGCACCAGTATCCCAGTGCACTGGCTGAGCTTCCATATGAGTCAGTGAGAGGACAGTGTCATGGCAGGACCTCTGAATGCCCCCAGTTGTTATGTTGCTGGGTTGAGTCTCTTCTCTGCTTCTTTCTGTCTCTCATCCTTTATTGCTGTGTCTCCTCCTCACACCCCACAGTGCTTTTTAGAAACTATTTTAAAATAAAAATGTGAAAATGTTTTAATAAAAATAATTGTTTTCTTTTAATGTAAAGGTTATGGACAGATTTTTAAAATATAAGCAATCAATTAGTGATTTACATCATAAAGTACGTAAGGCACATATTTAAGGAATTGTTGCCACTTGAGAGTGCAGTAGTAAGTTACTTATTCTTATCCATATCACAGACAGAACACAAAATGCCATTTTAATTCACCATTCTTGACTCTAGAAACTCAGCAGGCAGAAAGAGCTTTGGTCAGCTTCTTCTGCCTTAGTTGGGTCCCCAACATTTGACTAAGTTAAATAATTAGTTACTCTCCCTCAGTCCCTTGTTCATCTATCTTTTTTCTTCATTGTGTCTCATCCTTGTGTGAGGTATCATTTTTTTTCTAAAGGAGATTTGCTAGTTTACTAATTATATTATGTTGTGTTACTAATTGTGATGTATTTAAAATAAATGCTTTTTCTGATCTTTTGTCTTTTCTGTTGCAAGATGGTCATTATTAATTGTGAAGTTTTTAAAAAATGTTCTTCGTATTCTATTTTTTTCCACTCTGGTAGTACTGGGGCTTGAACTCGGGGCATTGAGCTTGCCAGGCAGGCACTCCACCACTTGAGCCACAGCACCAGCCCTAAGATGATTATTTTTAGAATACTTAATCCCCTCAGGAATACAGTGAGAATCAGTTTTTTGGGGGAGAGATGAGCTAAAAAGAGGGTGTAAGAATGATTTTATTCATTTATTCAT